ATCTGGTTGATTGACAGTAACTGCCTTTCTGAAGGAGAACAAGGCCTGGTTCTCACAGGTTCACTTCTTAAATGAGGGCCCTTCTGTGTGAGGAACTCTGTTCTTGGTGTGCCACAGGCTTCTCCAGTCTCCGCCATCTGTGAGTTGAGGGCTGGAGGGGAGGAAGGATTAACTGCCTCTGGGCAGAAGTAGAGATTTGCTCTCTCAAGCAGATGGAGAACCCCAGAGCATGTTCCTGAAGGGTCTGAGATTCCCAGCCACCTCTCTCACAGGGAGTCCCACCATGTCTAGAAGTTGAGGTGACAAGGATAATCAAGCTTTGCCAGTTATGAGCCTTGTGAACTTGAGCACATGCTGTGCCCTCCTATGAGGACACACACCCCGTGTCCCAGGTGCTTGTGACAATGACAGCACAGAGATGGGAAACCAAGAACATGGCCCGCAAATCATGACACTGAATGATGTCTGCTCTCAGCTTAAATCCATTTCACAAACTTCCTTTCCATACCAACACTGTCTCCAAACTGCTTTTCCACCAGCCTCATGAAGAACAAATGTGAATGGCGGGGAAGGGAAGCCTTGGCCCCTGCCCCTAACAGCTTTCACACTTGGGTATGAGGCAGGGCAGGGACATGGGACAAGCGTTATGATTAATTTTTCCTGTCTGTGATGAAAAAATGCTGAGATATAAACTAGTAAGAACAGGAGGGACTTTATCTTAAGGCTAAGATTAATTCCATTTTAAAAACCAGGGAGTTAGGAGGTAAGATTCCTCATGTATTTTATGGTAATTCGCCAAAAACTGACCCTATCTTAAGGCACAGTAAGTAGTCCTACATGATAGGTCCCTCCTGCTTGAGGGTCACCACTATCTTGGAGATAGTGATCACAATCAATAAATTCCTTGTGTTAAGTTTACAGAATTATCAAGAGGACAGACTATGGCTGGTGATATGTCTCTCACTAGAGGCAGACATCATAAGACACGTCAAGCCTATACCCCCCACCGCCCTTTGCACCCTCCTTGAAATCCTTAAAAGAATCCTAAGCTTTAAGTTTACTTTCTGAGGCTGCCCACATTCCCCATTCTTTGAGTGTGTACTTTGCCTTAAATAAAGCCTTCTTACTGCTCAACTTACTGAGTTTTGTCACTGCGCTCTTCCAGTGATATCTTTGTTACTTTGCTATTTCATTCAGTGTTCTAGACTTAAGCACAGGTCTTCTCTCCATGTCCTACTTCCAACAAGTGGGGAAAGGCCACTGAGATCTCTGATTGAGGCTTGCCAGTTCCTGTTGCCTGGGTGACCCAGACAGGACTGCATCGTCTTTAGCAGTCTGCCTGAAAATCTTTCTTTGCTTTGGCAAGTTCTCACAACATAATCTCACTTCATCCAGTGCTCTGCAGCTCCCCCAGATCCTGGGCAGTAGGGGCTTAGTGCAGAATACACTGCAGATTTTAAGTGGACACTGGATGCCAGGTGACCCTGGCTTCAGGAGTTAGCAGGGGATCTGTTCTATGCGGAGCGAGAGTTCAGTGAGCTTCCCTTTCCTCCCTGTTCTTTCTTGCTCTCTGCTGCCTGTAAGGCAGCTGCCACTCCCTGCTACTCTTGCTTTAATGAATTCCTTCCTATCACTGACTTCTCTGTGACTCCCAACTGAATTCGTTCCCAACAAGGGCAGATCCTCATTCAGCCACTTTCTAGCTGGGAGACTGTAGGCAATATGATTACATTCTTCCCATGACTATTTCTTCATTGATAAAAACAAAGACAGTAACAGCAATACTGTTGTTGAAGAATAAATTAAATCATGTACATAAAGTGTTTAGCACAGTGCCTGGCACCTAGTTAAGAGCCTAAAGGGTATCCTCACTATGATTAAAATAGGAATTATTTCCACTTGAATATATGCAAAATAGGTACTTGGTTACATTTATTCACGGGGTTTCATCTTCTTTAGAGTCTTAAAGTGAAACGAGTGATCACCAACAAATTACGTGTCGTCTGTTCTTCAATTTTGGAAGCACAGAAATACGAATAACTTATTTTTAAGTCCTAGACCCAGGTCAGAATGTGTATTTTGTTTATACCTCAACCCCATCCCTGTCAAATGTTAAGCATTGGCCCTGGTATAAGAAAATTAAATTTCTGATTCTCTTTCCCTTTACAGAATCCTTTACAACCTCTTCAGTAAAATACTTTTAAGTATTACTTTGTTTCTGTATTTTTCTTATGTGACTTCCAGAAAATATATGTGACGTACATTTGGAAAAGAATCCCTGTTAGTAGCAAACATTAAGTGTGAGGGTATGGTGGTGGTGGTGGGGATATTTTGTACGTCGTATTTTTACATACTAGTCAAAAATTTAAAAACAGCAAGCAAGTTAGCTTGTCAGAAAAAAAATAACCAAATATTTGTCAGCTGACTAACACGGTGTTGGTATAACTTTCGTAACCCTCAAGCGCACTCGGCCAGGCAGTCCTCAGCGCTCGAGACCCAGCCCGGCCCGCCAGACTCCGCCCAGTACAGGCGCTGCTCTTTCAGTCCCGATAGGGCCCACACGGCTCGAGGCACCGCGGGCTCAGTCTACTGAATTGCAGGCCCTACTTTCTTGGCCTCTGCCGCCGCAGGCCATCTCTCCCGAGGATCCCGACACACTGACCTCCCGGCTGGGGACGTGGCCGCTGGGATCAGCGCGCCGCGGCACCCGGGCACCTCCCACTTCCGGCAAGACCCCAGCGTGAGACCCGCCACCCCCCATACAATTTAGCTGCCTCTACGGTCCTCCTGCCTGCGTCCCTGTGCCCGGAGGGGCCGGGAAAGGGAAGGAGCGGCAAGTTCCCGCCCGGCCAGGTCCCCCTCCTGCAGCGACGTTGTGGTGGGGGGAGCCGGGGTTGGGACACCAGGGGGTGCGGGTTCCTGCTCGCGGGCGCTGGGCCCAGCTTCCTTGAACATTCTAGAACTGCGATGAACAGTAAGTGGCAAGTGTACCTGGATCCCTCAGTAAACACGCATTTCAGAGGATGGGAGTTACACCCTGTGATTCAAATGTATTGTATAAGGCATGCTGGGAATTCTAAAGGTCAAATTACTGCATCCTGTCCTCACTACTGAGGAGGCAGTGTATGGTGGGCCTCCTTGGATTTTGGAGGCAACATACACACTTTCAAGGGTGGCCCAGAGTCATATGGTCCAAGGACTATATGACCTGGCAAATCCAAATGATATAGAGGTACCTTTGGTACATAAAATACTGTGTAGAAGTCTGGTACATGGCAATAGGAGCTTGCCAATAAATTCTAGAGCAAGGCCATGCCTTCTGCAGCAAAGAACTCTTCAGTTTGAAAAGCAGCTCCTGGGATGAGACCATGAGATGCCAAGTGACCATTAACTGGAGCTCTTACCACAGCTGAGTATTCTCAGACTCTCCAAGCCACTAGATCCCGTGGACACAGCAACAGTCTGTAATGAGGAAACGCCACATTCGGGATCAGCATGAACAGGTCAAGTCACAGGTATATATGCAGGAGACTCAGATCTCTGTCTCCTATCTCTGCTGAACTGATGCCTCTCCTCTGGTCACAGCTGTGGGTTCACGGAAGGCTCCCTTGGACTTGGCAGAAGAAACAGCTAGGGTCTGTTTCGCAGAGGATCAGCCCACTCAGTATGTTGGTGTGAACCATAAACGCAGTTGATTCACCATGGCCTTCCTCAGGAGTGGCCCTTAAGGTCAGGGTGGGGGAAATCCAGTGGGCAGAGCTGCAGTCTATCCAGCACCAACTTTGTACAGAGGAAGGAGTGGCTAGAGGTAAAACCTTCAAGGCCTCCTGGGCTGTGGCAAACAGCTTGTCTAGGGAGGGGCCTGCAAAGAATAAGGCTGTAAATCTGGACACCACATCTGAGAAGCCAGCTTATGGTTAGACCATGAGAGCTGAAACAAAGTGTGATCTTTATGTCTTACATCAGTGCCCACTGCAAAGCACCCACTGTACAGGACACATCAGGAAGACACGGGGCAGTAAAACTGGGACCCACTCACCTCTCACCAGAGGAGGACAGGCAGGTCTTCGGCCTCAGCAGGCTCTTCACTTCCCTCATGGGGAGGGGATGCTAGAGCAGTTCCAGCAGGGGCCCTACAGACAAGTAGCTGCTGCCTAACCACTGGATTCTCTGCAGGCCTTAAGAGCTAATATACCAACAGGATAGCAACATGGAGAAAGCTGAGTTTCAGTTGCTACTGGAGCAGTAAGAACAATCCAGATTGCAAGCACTAGTGATTCCTTTCCAGTGACGACCTTCTCCCTAACATACTGGGCTGGTGCATGAAGACCTATTATCTGTAGTTTAATCTGATCCCAGGTTGGCACACAGGGTGGTTTCCAGAGGTGATAACTGGTACTAGATATGAAGCTTTCTTGCTGTCCCTAACCCTGGCATGTCACTTTTGCCTGACCACTATGGCTGTAGCAGCGGACAAGATACTTCAGTGGCTACGAATCAGAGGTGAAAAGCAAGAAAAAGGAAGGAGTGAAGTAGCTGGATTTCTAGGTAACAGGAGGACTACTGGCCAAAGATGTTATAAGACAGAGAGGATCCTAAGAAATCAAAACTGCAGCCAGAGGGAAAGATGGCAGATTTACCATAATCACACTGTGTACAATTGACTTTGGGGGTTTTAGAAGGACAATGCTTCAGGGGAGTCAGATTTTCACAGACTTTGGCAGAGACAGAATATATACAACCAAAATGCAAATAAGGCTAACAAAATGTTCTCAGTGATGAAAAAAATGTGTTCAGAATGTGGGGGGAAAAAGCACAATGTAGACAGAGATGCAGACCCTGAATACTCTACCCCACTTTCCTAATACATACATTCACAAGTACTGAATGTTCTATTTAACCCTGAACCCAAAGTTTCCAAAAGCTAGACTAGTAGGAACAGTTTTCTTTCACTAGAAGTGTTTGATAACCAACATACAGTAATAGTCCTGAGGCATTACAAGTGTTATACGTTTATTCTGAAACAGATTAACTTGTGTTCAATGTGGCTCAATTCTTTACAAGTCATAATTCTTGAATATATGTTAAAATAGTTCAACAGCTGTTTCTTCTCTAATTATACTGGATATACATCTGTTGAACAATACAAAAGGCAATGCCAGATGGTTTACAGGACCCGAAGTGTAGTGAGGGGACCTTTCCCCAGTGAGCTGGTGGGCCAGGAACCTACTGACATCCCGGGACACCCTTTCTACTGTGCCACCACGGGAGCTCTCCCTGCTCAGGCATCCCATGGCATTGAGTGAAACAAAAACCACCACGAGAGTTTATGCTGCAATCACTGGGCTTCTCCCTGGCATTCATGCTCTAAAGTTTAAAAAACAGAAACCACGGGGAGAGCGTACCTGCCAGTTAAAGCACTTCCCCCTCTGCAGTGTGGACTCTCTGATGCTTGGAGAGATTGGACTTACTGCAGAAAGTTTTCCCACAGCTGTCACACCAGTAGGGCTTCTCCCCAGTGTGGATTCTGTGGTGCTTATTAAAATTGGAGCTGTGGTTGAAGGCCTTCCCACACTCCGTACACTTATAGGGCTTCTCTCCTGTGTGGAGTCTCTGATGGGAACTAAGGCCTGCGTGCTGACTAAAGCTCTTCCCACATTCATTACATTGATAAGGTTTCTCCCCTGTGTGTATTCGATAGTGGCGAATGAGGCTGCCTTTCCCACTGAAAGCTTTGCCACAATCTTTACACTGATACGGTGCCTCTTCTGTGTGCATTCGCTGATGTTTAAGGAGGTCCGAGCTCTGACCGAAGGCTTTCCCGCACTTACAGTCATAAGGCCGGTCCTCCAAGTGGGTCCTATAATGCAGGGTCAGATTTGAGCTGTGGCTGAAAGCCTTCCCACATTTGGTGCACACATAGGGTTTCTCCCCAGTGTGTGTTCGCCGGTGTTTGGTAAGATTTGAGCTATTACTAAAGGCTTTTCCACACTCAGCACATATGTAACGTCTCTCTCCTGGGGAAGGTTTAGTAGGAATTAATTCTTTCCCTTTCTTGGAGCTTTTGTCTATGTGAGGGGTTTTTGTTCCTCTTTCCTTTTCAAGGTTTACCCTCTGTCTTTCTAACCTGGCCTCACATTTATTGCCAGTGATCATGGGAATAAGATCTCTTTTGAATCCTTCTGCGTGAGATTCTTCACAGCTTTTCTGCTTATCTGCTGACCCTTCACTCAGGGTGTCGGACTTACGATCTGAAACAATAAGTAGAATGAGGACATGTCAGTTCTTCCTGCTCTGAGAAGAAACTGTTAAGGGGGAAGTAGAACCATCAGATGACACTGACAGGCTCCAAAGGGTGGCCAAATACCGCTTCACGAGGAGGCGCCATCTCACACTGACTCATACAAGTAAATCCTCAGCATATCTAGCGTACTGCACCAGACTTGCACACAAGCCTTTCCCAAAGCTATTATGACAGGAAAAGCACGTGGCTTTCTCTGCCAGGAAAACAGCTTCACACACACAGGGCCGTGAGGCAAATCCGAGCACCTGGACAGCAGCAAAGCAGCTAGTGAGGCTCAGGCAGAAAGAAAGAAATGAGAAAGACTGCTGAACGGTTAATGTTATGGAAATAAAAAGGATAATTAAGGGAGAGGTGGCTAGTGACAAATGTGCAAAATCCATATTATCGCAGAGGCTGAATATAAAAGCAGTAAAAAAGGGTTCAGTCATTCCTAATCATTCCTGTCCTGGATCCTGATTACTTGGATAAAATTACTGAACTCCCATGCGAGTGTAACTCATCATCTAACCTACACAGGCCAGGTCTTGTAATTCTTTTAGCTTTGAAGTAACACTGCTGCCATCAGACTGAAGCAGTACATCTTTTTTAGAGCATTTCACTAAGCAGTCACACTGCCTCCAAGTCCATATAACCATCCACAGAGTAAAGGGCAGGAAGAGAATCTCACACTGAAAAACGGGCTTCCCCTGAGCATGGCTGGCCCTCCACAAGTAGACAAACCTCAATCAACAAGGCACTTTCCTCCGAGCCCCTTTCCCTTGCCCCTCTGTGTCTCTCTCCACCCGACCACCTACTTCCTTCCTCTGCCCGCGGTGACCCCTCAGCTGCTTCCAGGCTCACCCTGCTCACTAACGGCCCTGTTACTCTGCATGATGAGCACTTAGCTACAGGTACAGGCTTCCCTTCAGGTTGCCATAAACTATGTGTAGGAAATAAGTTAAAAATTTTAAATAGCCTATGAGGCAGAAGTTGAAAAAGAAGTGAACAGACCCTTTCTGCACAATCCAAAGCTGGTGGTGAAAGGTTCACAAAGTCATCAACAAAGGAACACGCCCCCATCTCTAACTGGTTCATCCAACCTGCCCACACCTCCAGAGACAGTTCCTTTATTAAACTCACTTTGACCCTTTAGGAGTGTGTCATCTGTTCCCATCCTAGGACTCTGCCTGAGACACACCTGAGGGCAGAAAGGCAATGCATTCTGCCTGGTCAGCCAACCAGTCAACTCGATCCAGGGGATTGCCTCACAACCAGGAATTAGAATCACTCAGTTTCTTCAACCACAAAGGCCTGGGGCACAGAGTGGGGCCTAAGAGATGGTCCCTACCTGAAGTCTTCTTCAGCTCGGGAGTGAAGTCCTGCTCTTCACCCGTTTCTTGGATGTACAGGGGCCCCCACGCTTCGTATTTGTGACTGGTCTCCGCAGACTGTGGCTGCATGCTGCTTGGGGACTCCTTTGCTGTTCTGGCAGAGGATCTCTTCCCCCACGCCTGTTTCTGTTCATGCGGAGGAGCTGAGACCTAGAGACAATTGGAAATGTCCAGCTTTTGCACGGCTCACTTTGAGAACTGGGATGAAAGAAAATCTCAAGAGCTACATGGAGTCTCTAAAAAAGAGAAAAGAAAAACATCTATTCCATTCAATTCCCAATGCTAAAGATCACCAGAGGATAGAGAAAGAAAAACAGGAGGAAACAAGGTCTAACTGAGCAGAAACTTCCATTCAGCTATTTTGTTTGGACAAACCTGCTCCTGCCTGGAATGCCATGCTCCCGATCTCACGGGAAGGTCTCTGCTGCCTACCGGCTGTCCTGGCTCATCCAGTTCTTGCTCCAGATCTTCCAGGAGAGTGACCGCCTCCTCCGCACTCTCTGGGCAGTGCTCCTGCACCCAGGCCTGCAGCTCCTGGGGCAGGATGGTCAGGAACTGCTCCAGCACCAGCAGCTCCAGGATCTGCTCCTTGGTGTGGATCTCGGGCCTCAGCCATTCACAGCAGAGCACCCGGAGCTGGCTCAGGGCCTCCCGGGGGCCGGGTGTATCATGGTACCCAAATTGCCTGAAGCGCTGGCGGAACATCTCCAGGCTAGGAAGGCACTTCCCTTTCTCCTCCTCGTCCTCAAGTTTCATGACCACAGGCCCCTGCTCCTGTGGAGGCCTAGGGCCCAGAATGGTGGCCATGCCCAGGACCTTGGTCATCACAGACTCCAGAAACAGCCTTACTACAGACGGGCTCTGTGGAGCAGGAGTATCGGTTCCTTTGGGTTTCTGGCTCTTTAGGGCTACGTGTTGAACCTAAGAAAATATAGTTACCATAAAATTACCACAAGATTGTGTTTTTTGGTTTTTACAGCCAGACCTTTAGCACAAGAAATTGTGGAAATTATGTCTATCATAAAACTAGCATATGAAAATTACTGTTAAAAATCTTTCTGGAGTCAGGTCAGGATATCCTACTTTGATTTTAGCTGGTCGCCTAAAAAGTGCACTGTGGGATCATTTTAAAATTTAAGTTAACTTTGCTTGGAAAACTGTTTCAAAATCTTACAACTCCTGAGATTTCAACAGGCTATCCTCTCATGGTCAAATGCAGCCAGTCTAAACCCAAACTCTGAGCTCCAGCATTAAAAACTTAACAATCAAATGACTGAGCTAGTCAGCATAACCGGGAATCATGTTAGAAAGTCGGAATTAACTAGAATATTTTTAAATGATTGAGTATTAACTAGTGATGTAATTTGGAGCTTCACTCGGTCCACTTTAAGTAGGGTGTGCTTGGGTGTTTGAATGCCCTTTACCTCTAGCTCCCACAGAAAGGCAAGTGCAATGACAGAAAGAATAGGTTAGAAGTGACCTCTGATCTTATAAAGGTATATAGCTTGACGAAATACATACTGCCAGAAGAAACTGAGGGAAAAAAAATTTAACCACAATAGATAATACAAATGCAAGTATATTGAAGCACTTTTTCCTTAAAATTTTAGATATTCTCAGTATTTTGGTCAGTTGAGATTTTAGAATACTAAAAACATCTGTAAAAAATATGACTAATTCTATTTCCTTCACTTGCTACAAAAAGTGAAGTACTGCAGTGGTAAGACAGATACACCCCTATAATCCTGCAGCTTTCAAGCTAGTGAAGGAGATGGAAGATAACCGAGTAAACAGGTAACAGAACCAGTCTATTGTTATTTGCATGCATTAAATATACTATGGGGAAAAAAACCCTAAATTAATTAACCTTACACGCTTATAACTGGCCTTCCTGAGAGAGTGTTTACACTCTAAACAGCATCTTTCATCCCACAGAAGTGTTCCCAAACTGGGCCTGGCTATCTACAGGAAAACTCTAGCAGTCTCAGTGAAGAGCCAAACAGATAAAACTACGTGGCTGTATTTGTTACATGATATTAGATTATAATGGTAGAGACCATCAAAGGGATGTATGAATGGCCTATGAAAGCTGAGCTGCAGATAATCTAAATCTAAAGCACTTAAAAATGGGAGCATGCTAATCTCTTCTTTTTTATTATTTTATCTTTTTTATTAAGGTATTACTGATATACCATCTTATGCTCAGGTTCACATGAGCAACATTGTGGTTACTACATTCCCCCCATTATCAAGTCCCTACCACATACCCCATTACAGTCACTGTCCATCTGCATAGTAAGATACTATAGAGTCATTACTTGTCTTCTCTGGGCTATACTTCCTTCCCTGTGTCCCCCCTCCCCAATATTATGTGTGCTAATCATAGGAACATGCTAATTTCTAACATGCCTGTCAGTCTCCATGGATCTAGCTTGACAGCACTTGAAATATCAAGTCTCTCTCTCTCACACACACACCTGTAATATACATGTAATCACAATGCAAGAAAAAGGACAAAACACTACTAACTGGTGATATTTCTTGGTTATAGAATTATGGATGACTTCAATTTTTTAAATTCTTTAATTCTGTGAATTTTCTATCATGGGTATTACTTTTATATCAGAAAACAGAAAATCTTTAAAGGGATCATTAGCAGTTGACAAAAAAAAATAGGTTTTACTTACACCCAAATTTCATGGCCTTCCAGACCCCCTGAAAAAAATAAACAAAAACCCCAGGAAAAAAGGAATTCAAGCCCATGCAGAACCCCCGAACAAATATAGATTTGTGTTACAGCTTTTATATCGGGTGTTTAGTTTCATACACTCAGCAAATGTATTTTATATGACTTCCCTTCATTTATTTTTGTGATCAATTTCAGTAATTTCTAAATATATGAAATGGGATTCTAGGACTAGAACCTCAATATGTATGTAACCTTGCTTTTATGAGACATTCAATAATTAATTCAGAAGTCTAGGTATATCAGTACATGGGCTCCCCGCCACTGCACCCCAAATCTGAAGCATCCTAGGAGATGCCAATAGGCATCCTAACAAGGTGGAGCAGAATCAGCACCATCCACTTCCTCATGCTGCCCCATGCACCCAATACACTGCTAAGGTTCTCAAGTTTAGGTTAGTTGAAAATGGAGCCAGAGAGAAACACTGCCACCTAGCCTCCTAGAATAACAGAGCAGGGCTGGGAGCATTCCTTAGAAAAGCTCAAAAGTAGACCTCAGTGTTGGAATAACTTTCCATAACTGGTTACAAAGTTTCACACTCCAGCCGGGGAACCTGAGCAAGGTATGAGGAGTTGTTAAACAGCACCAAGGGCATTGAATAGGGAGCATCCTCTAACACATTCACGTGGATCTGTTCCCGGAACTCAGCAAGTCCAAACACACAGGCGTGACTACACCACATGATTGCCCCTACAAAGCATGGACATAGTCCCACTGAAGGAAGAAAACGTCTCCAGAGATGCTGCTGCTGGGCAGCTGGCTGGGGGCGCTCACCGATGTATTCTGGTGCACCAGTTCTGTAGCACCACAGTTCAAACTCATATCTCAGCAAAACCACAAACAAGTGGAGGGCTGGGTGCTTGGACCCTTTCTTCCGTGCATGCATTCTCCTTGGAGATTTCATCCAGTCATATGGCTTTGAGTATCATCTCTATAACCACAACTGCCTATTTATCTCCAGCCTGGATCTCTCTTCTCCAGGTTCACAGGACCCACTACCCACTTGATATTGCCACCAGCATGTCCAACGGCACCTTAGGCTTAACATCTCCAAAACTGCCCTTCCCATTTCCCCCCTCATCCCCCAAGCTGCTCATCTGAGTTAATGGCAACTCTTATCACTGTTTTCTTAGACCAAAACACCTGGTCATACCTGACTCGTTTTCCATGTTCTATATACCATTCATAAGCAAATTCATAATCCAAATTCATAAGCAAACCCTGTTAGCTCTACCTCCGAAAGATCCAGAGTTCAACTGATTCTCACTGCCACCCCAGTGCAACAGCTCTTCCCAGGAGTACTGCAACAGCCTCCTAATTGCTTCCACTCTCACCCCTCAGTCTATTCAAACACAGCAGCAGGAGTTATTCTATTAAAACACCAATCAGATCACACCACGCCTCTGCTCACACTTTTCAAGGCATAGTAGCTCATTCAGACTAAAAGCTAAAGTCACCAGAATGGTCAAGAGATCCCAGCCCCTGCTGCCTCTGATTTCATCTTGTATCTCTCTGCTGAAGCAGACTGTTCTTAAGGTTAATTGGACGTTTAAAAAAGTTGTGAAGCCTTTTTTCCCTTTTATGATTACTAGGAGAGAAAAGGTGCCTGCTTTGTCTCTAGGGGCAATAGTTAATTTCTAACTCTCTTCCAACAGCTGTCAGAATACTGGCCTAATGAACTAAAGTTTCTAGCAAATCTATTTCAAACATGACAACACAAAGCCTCTTTTAAATTTTAACAAATACTTTTAGCTTTTAACTAGTTGGCAGTATTATGACAACATTCCCTCTTATTTTGAAATCACACGGGCCATTTTCCAGTTTGACAATTCTGTCTCCATAGGCTCAAAGGCTACATGCAGAGGTTTAAAACACAAATTTGCACACATGACCCAGAGGTTTAAAACCACCTAATAACTTCTTGCTTGGGAAACAAAGTCAGTCACAATCTGGCCTCCACCTCCCCAGTCTCCTCACTCCCTTTCTCATTCCCCATGGCCCATCAACACCCAATTCTCATGGCCGACTTCTGTTAAATATCACCATGAAAAGATGCTTAACCTTAATTATAATAAAGAAATGCAAGTTAAAGATATAATGAAGCACTTCCACCTGCCAAGTCTGGCAAAGATTAAACAAACAAAACCAACCTGATAATGTCCTGTTGTGGTTTTTTTTTTTCCCCCTGAGCAAAGCCAGTAATTTCACTTTTGGTCATGTTGAGTTTGTCTAAAGGTTCATTTAGGGATGCCCCCAGGTCTTGGATTCTGAATTTTCTTGATATTGTGCTTATGAAATAATAAAGGGTATGGGTAGAAATGGAGGCTTCATTACTAACATTATCTTCAATCACACTGAACTACTTTCTTTAGGATATCTAGGGCGTTTAGCTCAAGAGGCCCATCAAGCAAAAGTTCAGGGTATGAGCAGAAGGCCTTTGTTCTGTTCCCAGTTTCTCGCCCTTCCCCCTTCCTTTATGCCAATTTCCCAAAGCATACGCGCCTTTATAAAAGTGTACCAAATCCATTCTGGAACAAGATGAGGCATAAATAATAATAGATTCTAATAATATAATGGGATTTACCAATTAATGTTAGAATGCCTTTAACACAATTCCTAGGCAGGCCATTTGGTAATTCTTGAGGCGCAGAATTCTATTGCTGGACAGAACTGTTAAAAGTTTTCTTTAAACTAAATCAAATTTGTAATCACTTTTTCTCTTCTTTCTTCACTGATCCTACCTAGTTCGGTCCTACACCACTATTTACTTTCTCCATAGCTGCCTGACCCACACTCCTCCTTCCCTGAACCCTTTCAGTAAAACGTGAAAACAATTGTCTTGCCTCGTAACTATTTCCTTCAATTCTTTCAATTGTTCCTTATGTAAGGTTCCAAGTATCTCACCCAGCTGATAACCCTTCTCTTGACAAACTATTTACAAACAGTCCTCTAAAAATGCGTTTCAATCTTAATGTATACGTTTCCTAACCTGAACAAAGCCCAACGGGAGAAATCCCTCTCTTGGATGAGCCACGACCCAGGGCTTCTCATGAGCCTGGCTTTCTCATAGAAGGTCCTCAAACCCCTCGGGCGTGTTCTCAATTAGCCTTGAATTAGGACCTCCTGTTGAGAGCCAGGAAAATGAGAAGACGATCCCGGTCAGACTGATAGACGGCTAGGTTCTGGAAGCGCACGGAAAAACTGCTCTGGAGCGCTAACCAAAGTTTCATTTGTTAAACCCTGTGGGAAGCAAAAGGCTTTCTAGGGGGCATGCGCCACCGCTACCTGGGGCTGGGCAGGGATGGGGGCTCCTCCCCACAGGCCTTCTGAGACCGGCCTGGGGGACCCCCCCCCCTCCCAGAAGCCACAGCTGCCCGACCCACTCCTCCCTCTCAGAACCCTTTTGATCAAGGCTCCCTCTCCCGCCCGCCACGCGGACCCAGGATCAGGAGACTCACCACGACGCGGAGATGCTCCAAGCGCTGGGCCACCTCGATGCGCACTGCGGCCGGCGCAGCCGGAATTACGTCAGAGCCCCGCCTCAGCGGAGAGGGGTGCGGGCCGCAGTGGCCCCTCTAGGAATTCCGGAGGTCTCTGAATCTCGGTGTCTCGGGTCCGCGGGAGGCTGAGACGCGACCAGGACTAGAGGAGTCGTCTTCTAAAGAGAAAGGGCAGGAACCCCGTTCCCTTTATTTAGCAAGGAAGGGCCGACCAGATGAAGGCTTCGGCGGTTTGCGCTCGCGCCACCGACGCCCCGGGCCAGGGGGAGGCGTGGGCTCAGCGCGGCAAGCTCGGTCCCCTTCGTGGACTTGAGAGCCCGATTCTCCTGTGACCCTCAGGTCCATCACCTCGTGAGAGCTTGGGCCACGTTTATGCACGCGGAGCCCCACGCTTGGCTCATGAAGCCAGAGATTCGGTTGTCACTCTGAGACCCAGGTCAGGGAGGCATCAGTCCGAAGCGCCGGGCCCTGAGTCTAAGCTTCCTGGGCAGAAATCTCAGAGGCTGCCCCCTAAGTGCCCTGGTGCTGCAGGACTTGATAGAAGCTTTTGCCCACCTTTTTCTCCCGCTGTTCTTGCACATCTGAAGCTTTGCAGACTAGATTCTCCCAAGTTTTCCATCTCAGGCCCATCCCCTCCGGCCGCCTTGAGTTTGTTTGCTTGTTCCCTCAAAAAGCACACGAGATAGGCCAGCACGCGGAATTCCCTGTCCAAATGTACCGTGAATTTATTTCAAATAAATGCACCATAACATTATTTTTCCCATATGTTTTTAGGATTATTAAGACAATTTTTTTTTCCAGGAAGAATAACATGTATCAACTGACTAGTTTCAACAGTTACCACGTGGTGCATCTTGTTTCACTGATTTCCCCCATACACTGGTCAGGCATCTAAGATGGCTCCTTCTGGGTGCCACATGTTAACAGGGACATTCCAAAGCCAATGGTCATCCAGAAATGAACAAATCCGAAGATGTGAGGTCTGAACACCATGCCATTAAACCTATGAGAATCTGGAGAATTTTTCCTTACCTTAGGGAAGAGAGGACAAGGGTACAATGGAGGTACAAAGCAGTCTTAGTATTCACATATGTGAAGTGCTGTCATTTGAAAAAGAAGTTTGTCTTATGGCACCCCAGAAGACAGATCTAAGACCAATGAATGGAAACAATAGAAAAGTTTAACACAAGGAAGGACTTTCTAATATAGTTGCTCAAAAATGGCTTCTTCCTGCATCATCTTGACTGTTGTGAAGTGAGAGAGCCCTGGGGATGGGAAGGACAGTTCTGCAGAGTAATTTTGGGGCTAGATGATCTTTAACATCTTCCTACAGCTTGCGCCAGGCTCCTGTTAGTTCTTCCCCTTAATCTCCAGCCCTTTAAGGACACTCTCTCACCTTTCCACTCTGCACACACCTCCTTCAAGTACTTGCTATGGGCCAGGTACTGTGTTAAGCACTTGGTTTCAGTTCTTTATTACCACATAAAAAACTACCCCCAAACTTAGTGCCTTACCAAACAATTGTAATTTCTCACATGATCTCACATCTGTGGATTGGCCAGGTTGTTCTACTTCCTGTGGTGTTAGCTAAAGAGCTGGGAGGACTGGCTGTTTATGCCCGGCTCAGCTAGGATGTTGGCCTGAGGCTTCGGTGCTCCTCCCTGTAAGTCTCTCTACGTGGCTGCTTGGGCTTCCTCATGGCATGATGACTAGGGTCCTCAAGAGGAGCATTAAGAAGGTCAAGGTAGAACTTGCAGATGTTTAGGCCCAGCCTTGGAAGTTACACAGCATCATTTCCACCACATTCTATTGTTAAAACAGGTCACTGGGCCAGATTCAAGTTGAAGAAAAACAGACTAACTCACAGACACATTGCAAGAGAGTACATGTGATGGGAGGTATTGTGACGATCTTTGGAAACAATCTACTATACAACTCCTTCTGGGTGCCACATGTTAACAGGGACATTCCAAAGCCAATGGTCATCCAGAAATGAACAAATCCGAAGATGTGAGGTCTGAACACCATGCCATTAAACCTATGAGAATCTGGAGAATTTTTCCTTACCTTAGGGAAGAGAGGACAAGGGTACAATGGAGGTACAAAGCAGTCTTAGTATTCACATATGTGAAGTGCTGTCATTTGAAAAAGAAGTTTGTCTTATGGCACCCCAGAAGACAGATCTAAGACCAATGAATGGAAACAATAGAAAAGTTTAACACAAGGAAGGACTTTCTAATATAGTTGCTCAAAAATGGCTTCTTCCTGCATCATCTTGACTGTTGTGAAGTGAGAGAGCCCTGGGGATGGGAAGGACAGTTCTGCAGAGTAATTTTGGGGCTAGATGATCTTTAACATCTTCCTACAGCTTGCGCCAGGCTCCTGTTAGTTCTTCCCCTTAATCTCCAGCCCTTTAAGGACACTCTCTCACCTTTCCACTCTGCACACACCTCCTTCAAGTACTTGCTATGGGCCAGGTACTGTGTTAAGCACTTGGTTTCAGTTCTTTATTACCACATAAAAAACTACCCCCAAACTTAGTGCCTTACCAAACAATTGTAATTTCTCACATGATCTCACATCTGTGGATTGGCCAGGTTGTTCTACTTCCTGTGGTGTTAGCTAAAGAGCTGGGAGGACTGGCTGTTTATGCCCGGCTCAGCTAGGATGTTGGCCTGAGGCTTCGGTGCTCCTCCCTGTAAGTCTCTCTACGTGGCTGCTTGGGCTTCCTCATGGCATGATGACTAGGGTCCTCAAGAGGAGCATTAAGAAGGTCAAGGTAGAACTTGCAGATGTTTAGGCCCAGCCTTGGAAGTTACACAGCATCATTTCCACCACATTCTATTGTTAAAACAGGTCACTGGGCCAGATTCAAGTTGAAGAAAAACAGACTAACTCACAGACACATTGCAAGAGAGTACATGTGATGGGAGGTATTGTGACGATCTTTGGAAACAATCTACTATACACATTTATCTTCATTATATCAACCCTATGAAATATTATAGCCCTGAGAATACCCCTGTGAAATAGTAAAGGCTCTGTTTTATAGATCAAGAAACTTGGGCTCACAGAATTCAATCATTTTTCCAGTGGGATACAAGTGATATGTAGAAAGTCAAGATTCCAACTTGGCTCTTTCTCTAAAGCCTATGCTTTGAAGCACTATCCTACTGCTGAGTTAGACTGGAAACAGAAGAGAGGGTTGGAGGAAACAGAATCACTAGGGCTGAGGGGAAAACCAGGAAGACTGCACAATTCCATGAGCCACACCTGTGTTGATGCCTTGGCAGTGCCCTATCACCTCTTAGTCAAAAGGATCTGTCTACACACAGTCATTGACTTGGGGTGGTGGGCTTGAAGGAACTCCTTCCAATTCATTCTAAGGTCATTGTTTTCTCTAAAGCACAGGGGGCTAGAGCTGCAAAATCTTGATGCCAAAAGAGACCTTAAAGATAATCTGGTTAAGCTCTTGTTTTTAGATGGAGAAACCAATGCCTGTAGAAGTTAGATCTGAGGCAAACTAGTGACCTAATCAGTAGCAGAACTGAAAGTAGAATCCAGATTTTCTAATTCAATTTCATGTCTTTACTATATCTCAACAGACTTAAAAAAAATTGCCTTAGAAAGATCAATATACTGTCCGTGCAAATCATATTATAGTAAAACAACTTAGGATGATCCATTATTTTCTTCCACTAATATAACCATGACCATATGACAAAATCACAAGAAAGCTAAGAAAAAGTTAGCCGATGTGACTGGTGGCTCACTGCAATGGACCACCCGCTTTCCTCTTCAGAATGGTTTTGATTTCCAAGAACCATGAACTCTTTCAATGAAGCCATTCAACAAACACTTACCAAGAACCTAGAGTGTGTTTGGCATTGTGTTAAGGCACAAAGTAAAAATGAAAAATGAAAAATATACATAGTGCTTGGTAGATAAGTAAAAAAATAACTACAGATGTAGTTGACGGAGTCAAGGCTGATGAATGGTGACTGACATAATGCATCATCTTGAGCATCACAGCCTGACCTCTCTCTACAGGCAAACATCCCTTCTGTGACACTCTGTGCTTCTCTCTGTTCCTGTGGCAGGGAGCTTCCTACTTCAGAGGCCAGTTCCCTCCTTTTGGACAGTTCTCAGTGCCAAAAGTTCTTTAAATTGAAGCAAAAATCTGCTTTCCTATAATTTCAACTCTTGATTTCAGCCGTGATCGATCCTTTTTTTCCTCATAAAATGCATGTGGCTGTTTTGTCAGTCCTTCAAAATATTTGAAAATGGTTATGTACAATCATCCCAAAGGTGCACCTGCAACAATTCTGTGATATTGTCTGAAAGTTGCTTCTGACTCTTGGAATGTGAAATGTTTAAACTGACCAGGGGCCCTCTAAGGATTCATGGCTCCTAATTTAAAGAACCTCTATTATACTCTCCCACTTTATTTATGTTACTCAGTTTTCTCTTTTGTCTTGAAACATTATTAGGCTTGAGAAAAAGGCTTCCCCTCCCTTTTGTGCAGAAATCCTGAGGAGGGCAAGTACCAGTGGGCTACCTCTGGGCCTGGTCCCTCCCCATTTTCCAGCGGGGTGCTCAAGACTCTCTAAAATGGTTGCTTCTGGATCTTCCCCGCTCATTCTTGCCTTCCCTTATTTTTTCTGCCATCACTATGCTTGGTCAGTAGAGCATGATCAGACCTTGATTTCTCTTAGGACAGGGCTGGATGGCTTCTTGCCTATTACAGCTCTGAAAACTTCCACTTGTACAGCATGTTAGGAAGCTGCAATGACATTCATTCAGCTGAAGAAAATGGAAGAGAATAAAAGTGGAGTTCTGTTGCTAATGAGCCTTGGAGATTTGGACATGCAACCTTGGCTTTCTGGAAAACGGGCATAACACCACCTTCTGTGGCAACTTTAAAGCATGCATGATGTGAGAGTGAACTAGCTTTGTAACTAGCTCGTTACGATGACGGATTTTTAATCTTCAAAACTCTTGGCTGTGTATTACTTCTGATCTTTGTTTTATCCACCTATCACAGATCATTTTTTTCCAATCTGCCCTTTCTGAAGAGGGCCACTTGCCTTAACAAGAGTGAGTAGTTTCCTGCCAAGATTTTTACAAGAGCAGGTTGCCGGCTTGTTCCCCCTTGTTTTGTGGAAGAACAAGTCTGCACTATCTCCAAGTCGAAAGAGATCAAAAAGGGCATCTGGCCCAGCACACCCCCATACAAAATCCCTTCCTGCCCAGGACCCGAGCATCCCTCAGCCATAACTGAATGCCTGGATTGATGCAGCCACCTGCTCTGGCTAGCTCTGTGACAAGGATCGTTCTTTTTCCAGTGGCTTCCATGAGGACCACTCCTGGTTGTGCAACTTGCGCCCTGCACAACCCCAGGGGCCACCCATTCACGTTATTAGGGAGTAGTTATCACAACTTGCCAGCAGAGGGCAGTTAAGTGTCTTGAGAGGGGTGCCTTTTTCTAATTTGCCCAAGTCCTAGTAGCGGGTAGACAAAGCTGGCCTTACTTATCTGGCCAGCTCATGGCAGTTTCTCATTCATTATTCCTAATTCCCATGGCCTGACAAGTAATGTTTGTTGGAAGGGATTTTTAGTTCTATTTCTTGGGAGTCATGCAAAACAATTCGAAACCTTCTCTTAACATGACAGGCCTTCTGATATCTGAGGGCAGAGACCAAGTCCCCAGTGAGTTTTCTCCTCACCAAGCAAAACCCTTGGTGTACACATGAGGTGGTTTTGCTTTCCATTCTGCAGTTGGTCTGTCAATCTTTTAAATGCGAAATCCAGAACCGAATGCAGAGCACGCGATGAAAGATAACGGAGTAGGGTAGAGTCAGACTAGCGCCTCCTGTTTGTGAATCTGGAGTGGAAGCCGTGCCCAAGCCATCTGAGACCTGGGGCAGTGGTGGTAATTCCCATCTGGGACAAGAAAGGCCTCAAGCCTGTGCAGCAGTGTCCACGACTCCTTGGGAAATTTGGTTCCTTGGAGGATTTGGGATTGCAAAACCAACTGCGTAAGTAAACTAAAGGGTTGGGGCAATCTGGGAGAATGACACAGGTCGTGTGAAATTCTGTCTTAACATCTGGGACTCAAATGGGTCCAGAGCCTGGGCGCCCCCTGACTGCAAGGTTACCTGCTTTAGGGACTCATAGGATGGAGGACATTGCCAGCATGTTTTATAAAAAAGGAGACTTCTGTGTGTTTGTGTGGGATGAATGAACATTCAGAAGAGGCCCTGGGGGAAACAGTAATAGCTACTATTTTTGGAACACTTTTGTCAGGCACTGTTCTGTAGCTGCCTTGACACACAATAATAGCTCATTTAATGTTTTGTGAATTCTATGCCCATTCTGTCAATGAGGAAACTAACACACAGCAAGTTAAGGGGTAGATGAAGGATTTGGTCCTAGGCAAATTGGCTCAATGCCTTTGTGTGTCACTTATGCTAGTCCACGCCATGATGACCAGTTGTAGGGTCACGCAGGTGACGTTGGAGGGTGAGAGAACCGCTGAGCTCACAGAGGAGGACAAGCGACAATGGAATCTTAACAAGAGCCTGGCTGCTGGAGGCAGATGCGCCTGGTTTTAAAGTCCAGCTTTGCCACCTATGGGAAGCTGCCTTACTCTCCAGGCCAGCTTCTGCACCTGTGAAAGGGGGGCACTGTCTTTACCAAGCTGATGTGTGAGTTAGAGAATATTCTTGGTTATTCTTCAGTGGAGGGAGGGAGGAGTTGAATGACAGCATGATTTCAACTGACAGCATTTCAAGGAAATGGTCAGATGTTACAGAAAAGTAAGAATGAAGATGGAGAAAATGCTCTGACAACACAGGTGTCCTTTAAGCAGCTGGGGTAAGAGCTGAGTTACAGAATGTT